TCCCCGTGGGCGCTGGGAGCGGGGGAGGCAGCGCAGGGCGCGGCTGGCCTGGAGGTGCGCGGTGAGGACACCCCGCAGCTGTCGGCCCGACTGGCCTGCGGCCGCGTGGGTGTCCCCCCGGCCGGTGGGTCAGGTCTCGGACCCTGTGTCCTCGTGGGTGTGCAGGTGGGACTCCCCGGCCAAGCAGCAGCACCGACGGGGCTCCGGAACCCGCTCCCCAGGGACGCGGTCCACAGGGAGCGTCCGGTGCGGGCTCTGCTCCTGGCACTGCCCAAAGCCGCCGCCGGGGCCCTACCCACGGCGGCCTTCAGGGTGCGGGCACCACAGCGCCCCGCTGTCCCGGTGCTGGCCCAGGGGCCGTCCACCTGTCTGCACCGTCACGCTGGGCTCACTTGCTGGAATGGCTCCGAGAACCCTAGAGACCCACGTTCCCGCTCAGTGGGGACGGGCAGATCCGGCCCTCCAGGCGCCACTCCCCCACCCGTGTGTCCCCCAGGGAAGCCGCCCAGACCCCTCCTGAGGATTCTGTGAGGCTGCAGGACCTGGGCGTAGGTGATTACGGCAGTGACCACTGGCTGCTGAGCTCAGTCTTGGGTTCCCTCCTGCCTGACTGGTCAGTCTTACAAAATGACCCTCCCAGCTCTGATAGAGTGGACGCTGCGGCCTGCGGCGAAGCTAGCCGCTCGCCCCTGGTCAGGAGGGGGAGGGCCTGCGCTCCCTTCCCGTCAGCCTGTCTCGGGGCGGAAGGGAAGCCGGGAGCCGCCCTGCTGGCTCATCCGCAGTCTGGGCCCAGCTGTGCGTCCTTGCCCGTCCCTCCGTCCTCTGTGGCCTCGCGTCCGCTCCAGCCCATAGCAGGCCCCGGGCCCACGCCGCCCTGGGCTTGGGTTTTGAGCACAGACTGGGAGGCAGAGGCGCCCAGGTTCTAGCTGAGCCTGTGGGTCACTGGGAGGGACTTTCTTTTTTTCTTTTTTCCCTGGGGCCTAGGACCTGCTTCAGTGTCAGAATAGTCAGGCTGTGCTTCCTGGATCCGGTTGTAGACCTCAATCTGCAAAGCAGCAGACCAGGACGTGGCCTGTGAGCACCTGTCCACCTGCTGACCTCTCCGTTGACTCCAGCAGGCCCCTGTGGGTGAAGTCGCTATGGCAGGAAGCCATACTCCAGACTCAGCCCTGGGGGCAGTGGTTTCAAGTTGAGGTAAGGGCCTGTTTGCTGACAGCCCTTCCAAGTGGGCTCAGGCGGCTTCTGCCTTTGGGTGGCTGTGAACCAAGGTCCTGGTGGAACCCTGGTCCTCACCTTGGGTCCTAGACACCGAGAGTCAAGTGCATTCACCTGCCGGTCCTCCAGAAGGCTCTCTTGGCTGGGTCCTGGGTGGGTCTTCAGGGGCCATATGTTCACTGCAGTTTACTAGCTAGGGGGTTAGCATTTTAGTTGTAAAAGGAAACAGCCAGGGGCAACAGGTAGCCTTTCCATGCCTCCCCTTGGGCAAACAGAACTTTCTGGGCTTTGGTTTCCTTCCCTGTGAGATGACAGTGCTAATTGGGCTGACTGACAATGCTAATTTCTTCCTGCAGGGCAGTTGCAGGGGCTGGGTGGGGACACAGAGTGGTGGGCACAGGAAGGCCAGGGCAGGTCCCAAGGTCCTCCACCTTGGGGCATCCCACAGCCCTACATAAAGCAGGACAAGATTTCTAGGTCCCTCCTGGCCACACAGGTCACCTGAGCGATGTCCCTGAGCTGAAGTGTCTGTGGCTGTGGAAACAACAAGTTGGATATGTGAAGTCAAGTTGCCCTCAAAGGTTGGCCGGGATGAGCAGCAGCCAGAGGCTGGATGGTCACAGAGTCCCGCCCCACCGGCAGCCCCGGACACACCTGGAGTCTGCAGAACCTGCGGTCACAGCCACGCCCTGGGACTGCCCTGACCGGTCCGCGTTTGTTCGCAGGAAAAGCTGACACTGTGCAAGAGTTTGTTCAGTTCCCAGGTTAGGCCAGTCGGGCCACGGAACTCCCAGCACAGGTGCAGCTGGACTCCTGGGTCAAAGGCCAGCTTCACCTGGGAGGTGCAGGCGATAGTCACTCCTGAGTTTGCCACTCCAGGCGGGTCTCAGAAGCCTGTGGGAGGCCTGACCTCGAGCCCTGGTTCAGCTGTCAGGTGGGGGGGAGCTCTGCTGAGGTGGGCTGGGAGTCTCTCCTGAACCCCGAGGGGCCTGCAGGCCGCTCAGTGGGAGCCTAGTGGGGACTGGGCGCTGGTGTCCCTGGGCCAGAGTCAAGCCGTCCAGTCCCGCGCGTGGTCAAGGCTGCTTCTGAGGCCCCAGCCCCAGAGTGCCTGTGGCGGCCCCAGGTGGGGGTGTGCTGCCTCCCTGGGCCCGGGCCTCTGATCAGAGCCACCCCGAGGCCTCCAGACCTGTGGGAGAGACAACCCCGAGCCCAGGCTAGCTCCCCAAGGCCTCTGTCCGCCAGCCATTGACCTTGCGATGGCGGGAGGCAGGTTCCTATGGTAGAAGGGTGTCTGGTGGGTAGGGCTGCCCCGAACCTGCATCTGCTGGGGTTCTGGGCAGTGGAGTGACTGGCCCCCCACAGCCTCTATGTGGACCGTAGGTATCTTTCCCTACAGAGGTGGGTGCAGAGGCTCCGGCATGGCTGACCGGTGAGTCTGGGTTCTGGTGCCGCTGACCACCTGCGTCCTTCCTGGGTGGTCACTCGGCGACTCAGCACTGCCACGTGACCCTGGGCCCTGGAGCAGCTCCAGGCAGAGTTGACCCCCGCCCTGAGTCCCCAGGGGCGTGGGAGTCTTGAGGGGTGCAGGGCTGCTGGGTGGGGTGGGAGTCTCCGAAGTGTCTGTCGGGACCCAGGCACATCTTCTACCCTGGCCCCAACCCCGTCAGCTGCACCCCAGCCCTGGTGTGGGTGTGTGGGGGGGGACCCTCCCCTCTGCTGTCTGCCAGGCAGCCTCCGAGCCAGACCTGTGGGGTGGGCGGGAGGGGCTGAGCCCCTTGGGCTGCCCATAGGCGGTGTCAGGCGCTGGTTCCGTGGCCCCGTGCAGTGGCTCCTGGTGCTCGCCTGGCCACGAGCCTTGTGGCTGCGCAGCCAACAGACGGCCGTCACGTTTCGTCTCTTCACAGTTTGGGGAAAAGGCTGTTTCTGGTATGTGACAATTGTATGAAATTCAATTTCAGTGTCACAAAGTTTCACGGTGCCAGGCTGTGACCATGAGGACTGCCCTGCTGTCCTGGAGGCCTGGGGCAGGGCTGGCTCGGGATGGGGCCTGGCCAGGCCACCTGCACCCTGGAGCTGCCTCTAGCAGGCCCCACCCTGTCCCCTCAGGGCCACCCTAGCCCAGAGCTGGCGCTCCTTGACAGCCGGCTGGCTGGGCAGTGGGTTCACTCTGGACCCAGACGTGGTCATCACGGCCTGGAGAGACGGGTGTGGCGAGAGCCCGAGCCAGTGCCTGCTTGGGGCCTTGGCCCAGGGTGCCCCCACAGCTTGCTTGGCCTCTTGGACCCTGCGGCCCAGCCCAGTGGGCTCCGCCCCTGACCCCAGTTGGGGGGACCCCAGGATGTGGAGGTGCAGGGAGGGGGTGGCAGTGTGAGGCCAGCTAGGCCTCGTGTGGGGTGGCGTCCTTCCTGGGCTCCCCCACCCACCACGCCCCTGAGCTGCTTGGGCGCTCCTCCCGGAGCCCTGGGCCTGGGGGCCCAGCCGGCGGACCAGCACTCGGCCATGGGCCCACACTGTGGGGGGCCCAGCCTCAGTTTCCCCAGACAAGAGGGGCTGCAGGCAAAGGGAGGGCTGCTCAGGGGCGCCCTCCCACAGCTGGTCCCCATTAGGGCAGCAGCCCCCTTGACGGGAGGAAACCTGACTCCCCCGCCGCATTCCAGCCCTCCCTCTTCTGCCCAGCAGCCAGGGGCAGCAAGGGCCGCTGGGCTCCCTGGGGCCCAGGAGGCCAGGCGGGGTGTCTGCCTCTCAGGCTGAGGGTGCAGGAAGACCGCCCACCCCCCGACTCTGGCAGCACCCCCAGCAGTGCCGTGGGCCCCAGCTCTTCGTCCTCCTGGACACCCAGTGGGCGGGGGCGGGCTGAACCTCCCCCAGGGAAGGTGTCCACTGGCTGGCGCCTGAGGGGCCCCATGTCACCCCTGCCCCTGCCCAATGTAGCTCCCCTGGTCTGTCCCAGAAGGCTGAGCCTGGGGCGAGTCACCTGTGGGGAGGCCTGAGCTATGATGAGGACTGAGGGCTCCAGGGCTCTGCCGCCTGTTCTCCCGGCACCTGGCGGGCTCCCCCTCCTCCCCGCAGTCCTCCCTTTCCCCAGGGCTCCCCCTCCCCAGTGGGGCCCCCCACTTTGCTGGCATGGAAGACAGGCGCCGAGTACTGGAGACGGTCAGATGAGATGAGGGTGTGCGTGCTGCAGCGACCCGGCGGGCCCTGTCCCCTCTGCTCCACAGGCTTGGCCGGGGGCAGCCGCCCTGAGCGCTGGCTGCTTCTCAGCGGCATTTGCGCACGCCCCCGCCGGCCTGGCCGGACCACGCGCCGCAGGGCGAGTGAGAGGGGCTGCCCTGCCCGTCGCTGCCCAGCCCAGCCCAGCCCGTCCAGCCCCGTCCTGCCTGCCCAGCCCTGCGGCCCTTGGTTCCGATGCTGGCCGGGTCTGCGTCTCAGTGCTCTGCGGTTCTCCTGGGTCGTGTTCTGGGACCCAGTCTGCTGGCCCGTTTTTGGTTGGTGTGTTAAGACCGCCGGTGTCCAGCCGATCTCCAGGGCGCTGGACTAGCGCACCACTGCGCTGGCCTGCGGCTCCGGCCCCGCCCTCCGTGGCCTTCGTCCTCGCGCTCCGCAGCGGCCACCCAGGGCTGGCCTCTGACCAAGCGAGGCCACCGTCGGCAACACCACTCACTGCCCGGACGTGCTCGGCTCCTCTGCTGCACCGCTGCCGTCACTAGCGAGTGACCGGTCACCACTGTCTGTGCGCTGAGGTCAGGCCCGGGAGTGAGGGAGCCCCAGGGTTTATTTTGCCTCCCCGGATTCTTTCTCTGTGTGGCCAAGCTGCACTCGGGGCGTCTGAGACTCCAGTGGGGCTTCCCCTCTGGCTCCTTGCGGTGACTGGGCTCTCCCTGGGGACCAGGAGCCAGGCTGCGTGGGGAGGACCCTGGGGCTCCCATGGACTCGCAGGTGGGGCTCCGTGTTGGCCCCTCAGCTACTGCTGCGCCCCGCCTGCCTCCTACCTCTGCTCCAGCTCCCGACGGGCGGCCTCACGGCCCCCAGGAGCCCCTCCCTGCCCAGCCTCCCTGGCGGCCTGCCCTGCCCTGCCCCTGCCCAGCTGGGCCTGCCGCTGATGGGGCACGTGGCTCATCCCATGGTGGCGGTGACAGCCGTGGCGCGTGGGCGGCCTGAGCACCCTAAGCCTGAAGGCCCGGGCAGCCCAGCCCAGGACGTACAGTACCCGGCGCGTGGGCCCCGCTGCGCCCCCCCACCCTGAGCCAGCCAGGAAGGACCCCACCCAGATGCCCACCCGCTGGGCGCCCCCTGCATGGCCGCCCAGGAGGCGGGTGCCACTGCCACAGACAAGGCCCTGGCGTGGGTGGCTGGGTAGCTGTGTGGGGTCCGAGCATGTCTCGGGGTGCGTGGAAGCGAGTTTCTTGCCCAGTGAAACCGTGCGCCTCTGTGGCCTCCAGGGAGCGCTGGAGCCTGCCGGTGGCTCGGTCTGGCTGCCCAGCCGGGGCAGGGGTGTCAGGAGACCTGGGCTGTGGCCCGGACTGTTTCCCCACGGCCACGTGTGCAGCCAAGGCTGCCACTGGTGCGTAGAGAGGAGAGGTGCCCCCTGGGGCCCCAGGGCAAGAATGACGAGCTGCGACAGGTGCCCTTGTTCCCAGGTGCTTTTACTGGAGCTCGGCGCGGTCCACTGGCTCTCCCAGAGCCCTTCGGGAGGGCAGTGGGGCCTGGCTGTCTGCGTGGACGGCCCGGCCTGTCCTGGCACCCGCACGGGGGCGCCCGGGCCCCTGCACGGGGCGTGGCAGTGCCCCCTCCAACGGGAGTCGAGCAGCATGTCCGCAGCGCCTGGGCCCATGGTGAGCTGGGGCAGGTGCGGTCTCGGCGCTGGAGTTGGGCGGAGGGGGCTGGGCCGGGGCCAGAGGGGCAGCATCAGCGGCTCTCACTGCCGGGGGCCTTGAATGCACCCGCGACGTCTGGTCGGGGGTACTCGCAGTCAGAGTGAAATTCACCCAGGTGAGCAGTGAGGAACTGGGGGGCCCTTGAGGAGGCCATTTCCATGGGTGTCTCCTGGGACCATCAGTGCCACAGCCTGGCCCGAGGGCCTCACATTCACACCCTGACCGCAGGGCGTGGCTCAGCAGTCCAGGCAAGGGCTGAACCCAGACAGTGTCTGCAGGAGCGGGGACCCCGGGCTGCCGTGGCCACCTCAGGGCCCGGCCCGGCCACTGGCCCCTCGCTCGTGTCTGTGCCGGGTATTGCTGCGGTGCCCGGGAAGCGGCCTGTCCTCTGGCATGCCCTGGAGCCTGTGGGCCTGGCAGGCACTCTGAGGACAGCAGCGTGTGGACAGCCAGCCGGCCCGCACCTCGCGCAGCACCCCGCGGTCCTCTCGCTACATGGAGGGCAGCGCCTGCCGGGCCTGCGGGGACCCGGCTCTGGGGACGTGCAAGGCCGCTGGGTCACGTCTGGCTAGGAGCTGGCTGAGGGGGTCTCGGTGCCAGCGGGGCCACCTAGGTGCCACCACGCGGCTGCAGTTGGGGGTTGACAAAAAGAAGCTGGCCTCTCGTGCCAGAAAAGGGGGAGCAGAGTGTGTGAGTGTGAGCCCTGGGGGGGCAGTGCCCCCCTGCAGTCCTAGACCCTTTCCCAGGCCCCAGGCCCCTCATGCTGCAGGCAGGACGCGCTCCGCCCACAGCCCTGCCTGCGGCCATGGGCGCCTCCTGGGCCCTTGGCTCGAGGCAACGGGCTGGGGAAGGGCAGCTCCAGGAGCCGTCACCTGGCCCTAGGTCAGTCTTCTCATGCGTCGATTGTGCTTGTCGATGGCCAAGGTGCTGCGGTCCACGGCCGTGGCGATGCCGTCCAGGGCCTCATCCTGCCTCTCCAGCTCCGTCTGGGCGTCCAAGGCCAGGCCCTTCAGCTGCCTCAGGATCTAGGCGAGACACACGGGCCACCTGAGCGCCGGGCACAGGCAGCTCGGGAGAGCGTCGCGGCTCGCTCCAGGCACTGTGGGACGGGCTGGGGGGGCACCCACTCGGCGGCAGACTGGGGGTGCCGGGGCCGACCAGGTACGGTGCCGCCCGAGGGCCAGCCCACACCCAGGCACTAGCGTGGGGGACAGCAGGGGCTGGGCGTGGCGCGGCTCGCGGGGCAGCGGGCGGCTGGGACTGGCCTGAGTGACCCCCTCAGCGGCCTGAGCACGCATGGGCTGTCGGTCTGCAGGCCAGGCCTGGCTGGGGCTGACCACAGAAGCGGCTCAGGAGGCGCCCAGCACTGAGGGACACGTCGGCGCCTCCCGTGGGGAGGGCTCTGGCCACGCTCAGGCTGCGGAGGAGGAGCTGAGGCCTGATCCATCAGGCGGATGCTCTGCCCCAGCACCCCGCCCGCCCGCCGCGGCGGTCAGGCCTCTGTCCCGGAGGGCGGCAGTGCGCGAGACCCTAGACAGAGGCCGGCGACGGGCCTGCGCCGCCCAGTGGCCCCGCTGAGGGCGGCCTCCCGGCTATCTGCACCCTGCCCCTGGCCCGCGGC